TGCTAAGGAAATAAGCCAGACACAAAGGACAAATATTATTTGATTCTACTTGCATGAGGTTCCCAGAGTAGGTAAACTCAGAGAGACAGAAAGTGGATAAAGGGGGTAAAGAAAGAGTTAGTATTTTGTGAGTACAGAGCTTCAGTTTGGGAAGATGAGGAAGTTCAGATGGATGGTGGTGAGGGTCACACAACAGTGCGAATGTACTTAACGTCACCAAATTGCACACCAAAAATGGCTAAAAGGTACATTTTATATTGTGTAAATTTTGTCACGATTTTAAAAAACCCTGAAAAAGAGGTCACTGTGAAAATAAAGCGGATGTGATTACCAAATCTGGCCTGGCTCAGAAAGTCACAGAAATGCACAATCCTCCGGTGGGGCTGGACTCTGGATTCCTCTCTGACCATTGCACTGGTCTTTGTGCTGCTTTCTGAGGGCTGCCAGAACTGTGTCCGACAAGCTGGGTGACTTGGAAGAACAGAAATTTTTTTCTCTCATAGTTCCGAAGGCTAAGAGTCCAAACTCAAGGTGTTTGCGGGCCGATGCTCCCTTCAAAGCTTCTAGGGAAGGCGCCTTCCTTGTCTCTTCCAGTTTCTGGTAGCCCTGCGCTTTCTTGGGTAACGACGGCAGAACTCCAGTCTGCCTGTCATCACGTGTTCATCTCCTCCCCATGGTTTTACATCATATTTTTTTCTGTGCATGTCTGTGTCCAAATTTCCTTCTTTAAAATTTTTTTTTTTTTTTTTAGAATTCACTTTAGAAAGAAAGAAAGAGGGAGAGCGAGAGAGAGAGAAAAAAAACATTGACCTACTATTACAACGCCTTCATTGGTTGACTCTTCTATGTGTCCTGACTTGGGATTGAACCTATAATCTTGGCATATTGGGACAATGCTCCAACCAACTAAGCCACCTGGCCAGGGCCTCAAAATTTCCTTTTTATAAGGATACTGGTCATATTGGTTCAGGGGCCCAACTTACTACAGCATAACCTCATCTTAACTAAATATATCTGCATTTAACTAACTCATTATATTACCAAATAAAGTCACATTCTAGGGTATACGCAGTTAGAGGTTCAACATACCTTTTTAGGGCAAACAACTGAACCCAAGACAGCAGCCAAATGCAGAGCCAAATGCCTCAGGGTGGCATTGGACACCGCCTGTTACACTGACACAGGCCTTCTTTACAGGGTACCCAGTCTTTCACTTGTACAGCACATACTTCTCATTGTCCCCACGACCCCCAGCTATGTCTCCTTTGCCAAGGCCTCCTACTCCACCACCTCAATGTTAGAGCACCTCTCAGCCCTTGCCCCTGTTTGTGCTCACTACCTGGATGACCCCATCCAGTCCCACAGCTTTAAACTCCATCTATCCTCCGACACCCACTACACAGGGTGGGGCAAAAGTAGGTTTACCGTTGTATGTGAAACACGGAGCTCGTTCCTGTATTGTTTATTTATTATTTTTCCACATGAACAATTGTAAACACACTTTTCCCCTACCCTGTATTTATGCCTCTACCCATCCTTGGATCTCCAGAACCACAGCCTACTGCTTACCTGATGTCCCCCGGGCCATCAATTATCTCTGATTTCACGTGTTCAAGCAGAACTATTTGGTTTTCCTCCTAAACCTTCTCCTTCCCCAAACTTCTTCTAAGTAGCCAATGGCCTCAATCTTCACCCAGCATCTAAAACCTTGGCCTTGTTCTATCCTTGACTCTGATCTTTCTTCCTCCCATGTCCAATCAGTATATCTTATTGGTTCTACCTTCTGTGACACCCTGAATCTGTCTCCTTCCCACCAGCCCTATTGCTCTCACTCACCTAAGCCCAGGATGGCATGCTGCTGCTCGTGAGCCAAGTTCAGCACAACCAAGTGTGCACATTTCCTCTCTCTTGGCAGAGCTGAGCAGCTGCAACAGTGCCCATGACTGGCCATGATGCAAAAATTTGCTCTCTGGCCCTTCACAGAAAGGTTTGCTGGCCCCTGGTCTAAGCATCTGATATTGCCGTGACTATCCCTTGGCGTAATCCTTTACTCGGCAATTATGCCTCTGTTCCCTCCTGGCACACCATCCCTGAGGATTAACTCCCGGAAACACCATGTTCACCATGCTCCAACACCTGCGGTGGCTCCCACTGTTCCTACCATTTAGCCAGAACACCTCTTTAGTTTTCAAAGCTCCTCTATAGCCTGGCCTGACCCTCCACAGTTGCTCAAGGCCCCACTGCTCCCCAACAGGACAAACCACTGCCTTCCCCTCTCCTGGAGGTGCCACGCACCCTCCCCAGACAGTGCCTGTCAGCCTCTTCTCTGCTTTCTTATTTCCACCAGCATTTGAGTATGTTCAAAAGGCTCTCATAATAACAAATCTTCCTAGACCCCAAACCTTCCCTCTAGTTACCATCAGCTTGTTGCTCTCCTTTCTAGGTTAGAGATTTTCTAAAAAAAAAAAAAAAAAGGAAAAAAACCTGAACAAATTGTCCATGACCATCATCTTTATTTCCTCACACTACCATCCGGTGCCCACTTCTCCACTAAAATCACTCCTGCCAGGGTGACCAATGCCTTCACCACATCCAATACGTTTTGTTTCGCCCTTATTGCACTGTCTGCTCCGCAGCAGCATTTAACAGAGTTCACTGCTCGGTCTGCAAACATTCTTCCCTCGGTTTCTATGATAACCTCTCCTTTTCTCATCTAGCTTTCTGTTTATTCCTTCTCAGTATCTTCTTTACGTGTGAGTTCTAGAGGAAGGGACCACGTCATGTGTGGTTCTCTGATAACAAATATACTAGAAGGTATATGTCAGGCCTTCAATCAACGTTAGCAAAACCCAACTCTCTGCCACTTAGAGTTTTCAGCTTGAGTATTTCCATTTCCCTATGAAATTCTCCATATTATCTTATTTCTTTAACATAATATTAATGATTCTTTTAAATGTGTGTCTGATCAGTGTATTATCTGTGTCTCCCATGGGTCTGTTTCTAGTTCTGTTTTTTTTCCTTGGCTTCTGTGAACCCTACTTATTTATAATTGAGTATTGAACACAACATGTGAAAAACTGGAGCAAGAATCTGGACGTCTGGAGGAAGTGACCTGCCAGAGAGGTGGGTTTATTTTTGCTTCCGGCAGGCAGGTAGGCTGGAGACACTCTGACAATCCCATACCTTCTCATTCAACTGGTGTTAAATGATTCACACCAGATCTCTCGTGCCTTGAGGGTGGTTTAATTTTGGATTTCCTCTTACTCCTCAGCAATGGCCTTTCACACATGGGTTGTTGACCAGAGTCCTTCCGACTTGGCAGGTCTTGACTTCAAGTCTTGTCTCCAGCTCTCTGAATCTGGCCGGAGCTCTGCTCAGACCCTGTCCCAAACGTCCATGCAAACAACCTAGACTACCACCTCCAGAAAGAGAGCTCCACGAGCCCTCACTAGCACAAGGACCCTGAGGCTTGCCCCCCACATGCCGCTTTGTGAGAACGCCCCTCCCACCCTGCGGGAGCAGTGGGAGCCCAGAGACCTGGTTCCAATCTCACAGCTGGCAACTAGTCCTGACTCCTAGGCTTGACCTTCCAAGTCCCCTTATCCTTACATATAAAATGCACCCCAATCAAAACCTTTGAATTTCTTCTTGCTCTAAAAGTTGTGCAATCTCTAACTACTTTTCTAATGTAAGGACAATCCCAACCTATACATTCTTCCTTTGTGAATCTACCAATGCCTACCCTGGAGGCTGGTTATAATATTTCCATTCTCATAAGACCATAATAACACAAAGACTTAAACTATAACAGTGTGGATGGAGATTTTCAAACAAAGTTGTTCAATTTCTGGAGCTGTGCCCTTTCCTACTTAAGATCCTTATTACTTATTGCCCTGGCTATGAAGTCATGCAAAGTTGATGAGGACGCAACTATGGCTAAGGCTGAAAGTCAAAGAGAAAAGCCCAGCCTCGAGGAAGAGTGTCACTGCAGGGCATCACCATGCCTCAGGCACGCAACACATAAACATGGGGGAACAGGCTCGAGTCAAAGCCAAGGACTTAAAATTGTTCATTTTAAAAAATAAGGAGGCTGACTGTGTTGGCAAGAGGCCAACGCAGAGGAGAATCAAACAGACTTCAGCCTTTGGCTTTCAGAAGCTAAAACACCATGCTTTCCCCAGTGCAGAATGCTAGAAGAGACACAAACGTTCTGTTTTCATGATGGACAAGAGGACCAGTGGTTGAAAACAATGACAGGCTGCAACAAAGTCCTACTTTCACAAACTCAGAGAAGACCAAATGGAGCCTCTTCATTATGCACAGAACATTGTCTTGCACAAACCTGCCAACTTTGGCCCAAGTTCCACATGGCCCAGCCTCTGTGTATCCCCCAACTACCTCCCAAGCCCCGACCACAGAACTTCTGGCCTGTATCTCTTCTCTATGGGACACAGTTGTCTTCTGGGCAGTGTCTCCCCTTCCTTGTGGTACCTGCACCCATTAGAAAGGAAAAGAGTTATCACTGGGCTTCTCCGTGCCTCAGTAACACACTGTCTACTAGCAAATGAACTCCACGTTGGCCCTTACTGTTTCTGAGAGGCCACGTGTATGGTGGAAAAGGAGCAGCCAAAGCTATGTCTGCATCCTCACCTTGCACTATCTAACAGTGCTCATTCAGGCACTGAAACTGTACTGAGACCCCACTGCAGGCCAGATGCTCTGCTGAGCATTAAGAATAGAAAGGTGACTGGGACGCATGAGGTGCCTGCCATTGTGGAGTTTAAATCCAAAAGCACCTCAGTTTCCCCATCCACTAAATGAAGGCTCTGGACAAGTATCTCTGAGGTTCCTTTAGATTTTAAAGTGCTACGGTTGTAGAATTGGAACAACAGCCCTTGTTGGTAATACATGTCTGTGTGGCGTGGATTGGCACAGCTTCTCTGGGCCTCAGGTCCCACATCTACAGATAAACAGGTGAAATCTGAAAATGTCCCAGTTACCTTATGCAGCCACAGTGGAAGGTTCCCAGAATCTCCCTGCAGGGACGGCTTCTGCTGAACAGCAGCCCAACAGTAAGAATCCACGAAGGCAGCCTGGCGCCAGGAGAAAGAACTTGGGGAGAAACAGCTTATCTGTGTACCTAACAAATAAAAACAGATCGTTCCACATGAATGAAAGCACAGTGTCTGGACCCTTCCCACCCCACCCTCCTCGGCCTCCCTGCCTCAGGCTTGAAGTGTTAGCTAAGTCAGGGAGCACTACCACAGGACTAAGGGCGGAACTGAACCAAAACAGCCACATCTGTAGGAAAGCTGAGTATTTGAGTCTTTTGGCCAACACTGGTCATGATGGCAGATTGGGCTCAGGTTGGGGGAAAACTCTTGAAAAAAGTGAAACCACCATAAAAAGAAAAAGTGAGCAGGAAAAGAACCAGAGCCAAAATGTAGACAGGAAACATGCACAGAGTTCCTTCCCTTTGAGATGAGGATGGAGAAAAGGGAGGGGGATTAGAGGAGCCAGGGTAGCCAATTAGACTAGGAAAAAAGGGCCTTGGAGAACAGAGAAACAAAGAACTTTGAGCCTGTAGAAGAGAAGGCTAATGGAAACTTGGTAATACTTGGCTGGGTGACAAATCAGTTTTCCATCTCCTCTAACAAAAAAGGCCAGACTGAAGCTGCAGCCCAAGCGGCTTACATTTGGAAGACAGATGCTTCAGACGGCGGACCTCCAGACTGGGAGACGGGCGCTGGATGGGGGATCAGGACAGCTGGGTCCTGCCCGAGTCTCTGCCATTAATTGGCTCTTCCGGCAGCTCAGAACTGTTTTCTCCTCTGCAAACTGGGGACTACATCAATCTGCCAACACTACCGTTACCAACTACCTGGAAGACTCTTCCTGCTCCTGAGTGCCTATGTGCTCCTGACTCACACAGGCCATGTGGGAAACTGGCTGGGACTCTTGGGGTGCAGGGCTGAGGCCGTGTGCCCCTCCTTCACGGCAGGCAGAGCACCTGGCCCTGAGCCTCTCCTGGCAGCCCCTAGCCCAGCCCTGCTTCCCTGTCCCATCAAGCATGCACAGGAGCCTGTGTGTGTTGTGGGCACGGGGACCAGCTGCTGAGGCCAGGAGCAGGCACCCTCTCTCCCACATCCTGTGCAGCGTGAGGGAGTGCTAAATGCTTGGGCTCGGATGTGCACTGGATTGAAACCTAACTACCACGCCACCTAACCTTCCAAAGCCAGGGATCTCCAAAAGGGTGATGACATTAATGTTTACACTCTTAGCACAGTGCCTGGTTCCCAGTAGTTGCTTAATAGGCAGTATATTCTTCTATATGAAGTAACTATTAACCATATATCCGGTTACAGCTTTACAGACTGCGGGCATGCCCACCATTCTCTCTTCCTTTCCTAGAGAGGGGACTGAGATGGCAGAAAGACCCCGAACTGGATTTGCCTGGTCCCGGGACATAAAAAGTCTCAAAGGGTCACTGAGGGAGGGGGTGGCCTTTATACTTGTGACAGGAGAGGGTAGTGGTGGGGATGCTGTCCGGAGAGCAGATTCTTGGCTGTGGCAGGGACAACAGGCAAGGCCCTGAGCACCCCGTCTTCTTCATCGGGTGCCTATATTGTTCACAGACATTGAGAAAGGACTTCTCAGGAAGAGCTCCTGGAGATCACTGTGGAAAGTCACATGCCACCACATGCTATAACAGGCTAAGTTCTTACATGCCAAACATGGCTTAAATATGAGTTGGGGGGTAGGTAAGGTATTTCAAGGTCCCTTCCAACTCTGTTATCCTATTACGCTTGAGTTCTTACATTTTATAAAAATAGAGCGGTTAGGACAGCACAGGGCCATGGGGCTAAAGTCACATTGCTCTCCCATCAGTAAGACTTTTGTCAAATGCTTCCTCTGCCACCCCACCCACCAAGACTTGCTGAGCATGGTGGCAGAGACCCAAGAGGGACAGAGAGGCTCAGGTTATAGACGGACGGTTTCTGGAAAGTTGCTTGCTTGGCAACATCTGTCCAAATACTTTTTTTACGAAAATGAACAATGCACTTTTAGGATTTCATGAGAACCTGTGCATGAAGCCAACATGCAGTGATATTTTTTCTAGAGCAAGATGTGCTTCAAGTGTTGTCTTGGGATTTCAGGGACTTCTCCCAAGGCAGTGATGGAAACTATTGGAGCATAAATAACTAAACTATTTGTACCAAAGCTTCTGCAAAACAGAAAGGAAATACAGCTGAGTCTCGAGAGACAGAGACTGAGGATGTGCTGAGCTCACAAGTAAATGTTTTTTTCATCTGGAATAAAAGGTCAGAAGAAAAGACAGTGGACAACCAATATTAATGGGACACCAAGCAGCTCTTGAATCATAACCTCATTTAAGTCTCACAACCAAGTTGAGGGAAGGAGAGCAGGGAAAGGGAGGGAGGGCGGGGGTGTGGAGAGCTAGAGAGAGAGAGAGATGGATAGGTAAAGATAAAGAGCTCCATGTTATCTTCATTTTATCCTGGAAGAACCCCAAATTCAAAGTAGTTCAGTAATCCCCCACTCAAGCTAGAAAATGGCAGCAACAGAATTTGAATCTGTATCCAACTCTCATTTTCTTAAAACACTCCCCACTGGCCCAGTCACTCCACCAAGGCCAGGCCGGAGGAGTCCCAGGCACCAGGGATCAGTCGGAGTTGGGTGGTTTGAACAAGTAGTTCCTCCAAGTGACCAGAACAGGGAGAGCTTCCAGGGAATATCAAAGACAAATCTGGGGAAACGGATTAAAGCCCAGGTACTGGGGATTCCCAGGCCCAAAATGGGAAACAAAGGAAGTCAAGAGCCAGGCAGGGGCAGAAACCAAACTGGGAGTGAAGAACAGGAGCAAAGGAAGGGGCAGAGTGAGAGGGTGCAGGGGGACCAGCATGTGCTGGGTGCTACAGCCCTATACCTTCGCCCAGGACAAGACAGCTCAGCATGGCTTAAAGGCACGCATGCTGGGATGCTCAGCTGTTGCCGTGGGGGTAGGATGCTTGAGTCCTGGACCATCCCGACCTATCTCCAAAAGTACTCCCACCTCTTTTATCTTACTTACTCTTCAAAATCATATTAAAAGGTCAACAGGTGTTTTATGTATTTTCCTAGTAATTTTCCTGTAAGGAAAGCTTCCAGTTTTCCCCTAGATTATTCATCCTAAATCTTAGCTCTGATCTGACACTCCCTTGGCTCGACACTTTTCATGGGTCCTCCTCCACTGCACAGCGTAGAAATCCAACTGATGCTCCAATTCAATCCAATTATTGCTGTGGCTTCCACAGGCCTGATTCATTCCTAAATCTGTACCTTTCCTCACACTACTCCTTCAGCCCAGGGGCCCTATCTCCAATACTTGTTTGTTGAGTCAGTACCCCTGTATGCCCACCTCCACAGCCCATCCTTCAACCCACCTCAGATGGTCACCTTTTCCATGAAGCTTCTTCCCCACTGAGCTCCCAGAGCCCTCGAAAACCATCAGAAACATGCAAAGGCACCTTCAACCACGTGGTATAAACATGCAGGTATGTCTTATCTCCTCTACTAAGATCTCAACTCTTGGTCATTAAGGTAGACAAAGTCAGCAAGTCTCAGTCTCTCTCAACTTAACGCAGTTCCCTGTATCAAATAAATAACAGCTGTCTGGTGCTTTAAATATTTCAAAGTACTTGGCCCCAGCTGGTGTGGCTTAGTAGACTGGTCTGAGAACCAAAAGCTTACAGGTTCAATTCCCGGCCAGGGCACATGCCTGGGTTGTGGGCCATGTCCCCAGTGCAGGGCTTGCGAGAGGCAACCAATTGACGTCTCTTACAATGATGTTTCTCTCCCCCCTTTCTCCCTCCTTTCCCCTCCCTCTAAAAATAAATAAAATCTTTTAAAAAATATTTCAAAGTACTGTCATAACATACTATCTCAATGTTCAAGCATCCCTGTAAGAAAACTGTCCTGTTTAATAGCTGAGAAAACAGCCCCCTGACCCGCAGAGATCCTCAGGCTGAGTCTCACGCCAGAGTCCCGTGCTCTGCCTGCTCCACTCTGCTGTGTGTTGGCTGAGTGAGCACTCTCATTTCTAGTGAGGAGGTTTGGTGAGACAGGCACTGCCCCTCACAGAGGTACAGAAGTCAAGAAACGAGTTTCAGGTTTATACTGGGAACAGCAGACAACACTATTTTCACCAGCTGAAAGAGCAGAAGGAACTGTGGCCTTTATATTTGTGTGTGTGTGGCCAGATATAATGAAAGACGTCAAGGAGACACCTGTGTTCACGGGCGCTGTGGAAAGAGCTACATCAACTGCTGGTAAGTAACCTAACCACAGACATCCTCCCTGCCCCCTGTTCTGGCCCAAGGCGGGGGGTGGGGGGAGGGTCACACCTTCTCCCTGAGTGGCAGCCCAGGGGGCTCTTGGTGCAGCTTAGACCTATGGCTGCTGCAGAAGCAGCTGGTGGAGAAGCAGAGGACAACATGGGCTGAGGGCGGCCAGGACCAGGGAGGGCGAGCCTGTTCAGTGGTTTCTCAACTGCACCAGCAAAGCTCGCACCAGGCCCCCTGTTCCCGATCCAGCCTCGCTGAGAGGGACTGTGGCCTAGTTTGCTATTGTCCTTCTCCCTTGAACAAGTTTTCTTTCATTCTTCTGCATTATATACTGTGAGTTCTGAGTGAGACCCCGTGCCTTCTGACGAACACCTATCCTCTCTCCCAGGGTGGCGTGTGGGAACGTTTCCTGATTTGCTTCTGCGTTTACATGCTACTTGTAACTGTGAGGTGACAGGAATCAGGCCTCCTGAGGAGTTAGGGAAATTCATCCAAACCACAAGTTTAACAAAAAATAAAAACAGGAATAGAAAGATCTAGTTAACTGGCTGAGAGAACTTTAGAGGAACTTTTAAATGGAACAGCTTCGAAGCTGAACAACACGTTGGAGACACTGTAGAAGGCAAGCACAGGGAACGAGCCCTTGCTGGGGACTCTGGCCCCCGTTTTAAGGATGAGATCCTGCAGGTAGGAGGTTGTACAGCTGGTATTCCAACTAGGTCGTCATCTTCACCTTCCGAGCGCAAGAAAGAAGAGACATAAAGTGCAGGTTGTAGACGAAGGCTGGGTCATGGGT